GCGAGCGCGCGCCAGCGCGCGGCGCGCTGCCTGAAAAATCTGGCACGAGAGGCCGCGGGCCCCGCATGGAAGGAGCAAAGGCTGCCGAGGTGTCGGGCGGGGGAAGGGGGGGGGGGGGGGGGGGGCGAACGATCAACACGCACCCATACCCATAGGGGGGACGGAATGAGCTATGGATGCGTGTTGTCGGATGGGGGTCCCCGCTCGAACGGGAGCCTTCCCAGGGGTCCGACTACCCGCACCCATGCCCATAGCCAGTCCTTCTCCCTCCGACCTCCCTATGGGCATGGGTGTGTGTTGTTCGTTCGTCAGGGAGGGGGGGACAAGAGAGGAGAGGGAGCCGAACCGAACGAGCGACGCGCTCCATCGGCCCGCAGGCCGTCCCGAGACGGGTGGCGCGGTGGCCGCTCGGCGCCCTCAGAGGAGGGAAGGAGGGGAATGGGGAAGGTGCAAGGGGAGTGGGGACGGGGGCGGCGGGGGAGGATGAGGGGAAGGGGGGGGGGAATGGCGGGGGGATGGGGCACGGCGGGCGGGAGGGGTCATCCTCCGCTTCGACCTTCCTCCGCCTTTCTCTCCTCCTCCTCCTCCTCCTCCTCCTCCCCCTCCTCCTCCTCCTCCTCCCCCTCCTCCTCCTCCTCCTCCTCCTCCTCCTCCTCCTCCTGATGCTGTGCAGTTGCGGAGATGATAACAGAGCATGTAGGGCCAATGACTGCAATTGCAAAACTCTTCACCCAAATCTTGCAAGGAAACTTCAAACCACCGAAGAAATGGAGACTCATGAAGTTCCGTGTGCTCTTTAAGAAAGGGGATTCGACGCGACCGAGAAACTACAGGCCAATTGCGATGTTCCCAGTTGAGCTTCGGCCAGGACGTGGGCGTACATATTCCACACGCATCATGCGTACTGCTATTGAGAAGTCATTGGAGTTGGGAGAGTAGCTTTGGGTCGCCACTCGGGATGTAAAAAAGGCACTCGACAGAGTTCACCACTCTTCGCTTTTCGATGCAGTATTGGAGGATAGAACCGATCTACATGTGGCGGGGGAGCTACGTCGCTTGCATTTTGATGTGAAACAAGATTGCACTGGGCCTGGCGCAGAAAGCCGCGAATTTGATGTGAAAACAGGGGTGGAGCAAAAAGACCCGCTACCTCCAGTGTCATTCAATACGGGATTGGACGGTGCTCTCTGGCTAGCAGGGGCAGTATGGAGGAAGAGAAGATATGGGACGAATGTGGATTAGGAGGTGAGGGGAGCTGGGCTGACGCATGTTGCAGTCGCAGAGGATCAAACCCTGTTGGATCGATCGTGGGTCTCTATGAGACGCATGATTTTCATACGCCTGAAGGCGCTGAACAGCTGGGGTCTTTCGCTGCACTCAAGCAAGTGCCAAGTGTAAGCAAGCTGGAAAGACTTCAAGTGGGGACAGGTTGCTACTGAAGGTTTTCTATTGAAGTAATACCGGTTAGTGATTGCTTAGACTTATTGTGAACGAAATTGTGTCTGCAGGATCCTAAGGGAGCGAAATAGCACACCGAATTGCGAAGGGATGGAGTAAATTCTGGCTTTGGAGACAGTGCTGACAGGGCAGAAGTTCTCATTGAAGAGAAGCGTTCGCAGATTTTGAACAGCACCGTAGCTATCACAGTATTATAGGAAGCTGAATCGTGGACACCGCAAGCCGGAGAATTACGAAGGTTTTACGCTACGCAGAATGCCATGCTCAGGAGGAAAGTATGCACCGGGCGCATTGAGGGCAATTGGGTGGGATGGGTGCACAGGGCGACGAGACAGGCAAGAAGACTGGCGCAGGATGCAGGTGTGAGGGATTGGAGACATGAGCATGTTACAAGAAATGGAAAGATGGGCGGGACATGTGGCGCGGTTGCCTCAGCATGCATGAGCTCGACAAGCTACTGGTTGGATGGATTGGCTTGGCAGGCCGATACATAGGACTGATGGTTGATACCAGCCAGGCCATCACGACGCCCATGGATAACATTTGAGCATGTGTTGTGAAAAAAATGTGCGCAAGAAGGGCACGGGCCATGGAGGCAAAAGGCACAAGACCGTGAGGGCTGGAAGGAATTGTATGCTGAATTCGCTGCACGGGCGACCACGACTGAAGCCTCGTGCTGAAAACTCGTTTCTTTCCGTGCGATGCCATCCTACACCACGTGGGCCTGCGAGCCAGGACTTCACTTTCAGTTGCACGTTCCTTCCCCCTCATCCTCCATCCCATTCCCTTATGCCTAACTCCTCACCGTCGCACCTCCAGACGTGTCGGAGGGCGGGCCAGGCGTTTCGCCCGAGACTTCCTCACCACTTATGGTCCTGAAGCTTGACGTGTGCAACAGATTCACCAATGGCGGGTGGGCCGTTTTCAAAATTTGGCTCTCGCCTTAGCGCCGCGCACATTCGTCTTCTAAGTGTGCACCAGTTTCACGGATGGCGGACGGGTCGTTTTCAAAATATGGTCCTCGCCGTAGCGCAGCGCACAGTCGTCTTAACGATTTTACCCGTTTCGCGGATGGATGGCGGTTCCTTCTCAAAATGTTGTTCTCGCCTCCGCGCCGCGCACGTTCGTCTTAAAAGTGCGCACCAGTTTCACGTATGGAGCGGGGCTCCCTTTCAAAATGTGGATATCGCCCTGGCGCCGCGCACATTCGTTATAGCATTGTGTCAGATTTTGAAGGATTCCTCTGGTTGTCGTTCCAGGAAAGGTGCTCTGGCATAAGTTAACACTGTCAGGACGCGACAATTACGTTGGCTCGCGGTGTACGGTGTTCTGGCAAGGTTTACGACTGACAGGACATAGCAGTCACGTTGATCCGCGGCGCTGAAGCCCAAGGAATGTGTTTTGGAACGATTGGGGATTCTCAGACAGCTGTCTTCTAATGGACCACTTCCTGCAATGAGCATACACTCTTGTAGAAACCTATGGAGGGGGAATCTGGAGGAATGGATGATTGCAACATAGTTGATGCGTCGTGGGTTTAGCTGGTCCTCCTCATCCTCCTCCTCCTCCTCATCCTCATCCTCCTCCTCCTCCTCCTCCTCCGCCTCCTCCTCGTCCTCCTGCTCCTGCTCCTCCTCCTCCTCCTCCTCCAAATCCTCCTCCTCCTCCTCCTCCTCCTCCTCCTCCTCCTCCTCCTCCTCCTCCTCCTCCTCCTCCTCCTCCTCCTCCTCCTCCTCCCCCACCCCACCCCCCATCATCACCTCGCCCTCACCCCTTCCTCCGTCTCATCCGCACCCATCCCGCATTTAACTTCGTCGTTTCTCCTCCCTCCCTCTCCCTGCTCCATCCTCGTCCGTACCCCCCTCCTCATCCTCCTCATCCTCCTCCCCTCCTAATCAGCATCAGCATCCTCCTCTTATTATTCATCAACATATTCATCTTCATCAGCATCAGTAGCATCATCGCCATCATCATCGCAATCAGTATCGCCATCATCATCGGCATCATCATCAACATCATCAGCGTCATCATCAACAGCATCATCATCATCACCATCATCATCATCACCATCATCATCATCATCATCAGCAGCATCAGCATCATCATCATCATCATCATCGTCATGATCCTCATCATCATCAGCATCATCAGCAGCATCATCATCAGCAGCACCATCAACATCATCATCATCATCATCATCATCATCAGCGGCATCCGTATCAGCATCATCCGCATCCTAACCATCAGCATCATCGTCATCAACACCATCATTTCATCAGCATGATCATCATCAGCATCGTCATCATCATCATCATCACCATCATCAGCATCATCATCATCAGTATCATCGTCGTCGCCCGCAACAGCAGCAGCATCACCCCGCCCCCACCCCGCTCCAGTCCTCCTCTCCCATCCGTATCCTCCTCCTGCCTCCCCCATCATCCTCATATTCCATCCCGATCTCTCCCTCAACATTTCACAATACGAATACTACTCTCTTCTCCCTCCTGGCGTCCTGCTGGCATGCGAACAGAATATCACATAGTTTGCTTTGTGCACACAGGAAAAGTCAACATTGAATTTCGAAGCGCTGTCTCAAACCATAACATGATACGTGGTGTTGTCGCAAGTGCGTTCGCCATATTTCAAAACACCAGAGAGCCTCCGTCCAACGAAACGACGGTGTCGCCGAAGCGGTGGCAGTGGTGGTTGTACGCTTGTATGCTATCAAAACGTTTGCTACCTTTGAGAAGCGACAGTGTCGTTGGCACGTTTGCTATATGTTGTGTTCACCTAGGGGCCTCCATCCAGCGAAACGACGTTTTCGCCGCAGCTGTGGCAGTTGCCATCGTCCTCTCGCGTCAGTGAAGGCATTAGTATTGCTCAGTATTACTAAGCCTTAGCATTGTGCTAATACGACTTAATACTCGTGTAAGCCAGACATGTTTTGCCAGGGTTTTAGAACACAACCCAAAGAGAGAATCCGCCCATCCTCCCCTCATTCCCTCCGCCTCCCAAATGCCATCCCAGCTCTTGACTCAATGGGTGAAGGTCTTCTTTGATTAATTCACCCTCTCAGGATCAAGGTCTCCCCCGTCACCCGACCATGTGAACAGAGAAGGGGTTCAACGCAATGGGAAGGCATGGGAGGTAGGGATAGGACGCCAGACATGGTGGAAGCACACCTAGCTTGTCATTCCCCCTCTCCCCTCCTGCCTCCTCCTCCTAGCGCGTAGGCTGTTAAAGATTAGATGCACTTCTCGATTTGCGCGTGTAATCCTTGCGCAGGGGCCGTGCGAATCTTCTCTGTATCGTTCCAATGTTAACGGCTGATCCCCAGAGGCCAATTTAGTTGTTTGTCCCTGCATCGTTCAACTATACCTTTCCAACTGTATCGTTCCAATTTTATTCTAGCGCCTCCTACTCCATCCTTCCGCGACCAACGACGGGCTGCCCGAGGCGCGGGTTGCTCGGCTGACGTCCGCCCATTGGAGCTCAGTTGAACAGGTAGCTGGAGAACAGCACGGACAGGATGCAGATGGTCAGGAGGCCCCAATAGAGGGACGTGCGGTTGAGGTCGACCGGGAGCATCTCCTGTCTCCGACCCCTGGGGAGGGAAGAGGGAGGGGAGGGAGGGGAGGGAGGAGGGGAGAGTGAGGGAGGAGGGGAGAGTGAGGAGGGAGGAAGGAGGGCGGAGGAGCGAGGGAGGATGGCTCCTTCCTCTCTTCGGCACGCTCCTCCTCCTCCTTCTCCTGCTCGTCACCCTTCGACGACGACGACGACGACAATCACGACGATGATCAAGACGGGGACCAAGACAAGGATCACGACGACGACGACGACGACGACGATCACGAAGGCCGCACCCACCGCACGGCCGCCCGTGCCCGCCGGTCCTCGTTGGGCTTCGGCTCGGGCAGCGCCTGCTGCCGCGGGGGGCGAGCGGGAAAGTAAAGGCGAGGCTTGGGTCGGGCATGTCCCCCCACGGGCGGACTTTGAAGGAAAATGCCAAGTAGTCAAAACATGCTCAAAAATAGTTGTGGAACCAAAGAAATAAAACAACAGCAACAACTACAGCAACAACAACAACAACAACAATCATTTTAAGACTGTTCGCCCTTATCTGTTCGAGAGTCAAATAACGCGTATTTCCCAAACCCTCGGTACCCGCCCTCTTCGTCTTCGATCGAACCCCCTTTGGGGGGTATAACTTTCTTCCCTGCAGGCCGGGCCCCGGCAAGCGGCGGGGCGGCCGCGGACCGTCGGCCTGGCCAGCGGCAGCGCTGATCGGCGGGGCGGCCGCGGACCGTCGACCCGATCCCAAGAGGGACGGACAGGGGACCGACCACGACGACGACGACGACGACGGCGACGACGACGACGAGCGAAAGCGAGAGCGAGAGAGAACGACAGCAGGGCCACGAAGGACACGAAGTAGGCCACGAAGCGCGACAGAGGGGACACGAAGGGAATGCGTACGGGGCCACGAAGAGCGCGAACGAGCGGGGGCCACGAAGGGCAGATAATGCGGGGCCACAGAAGGCAACGATGGGGCCACTAAGGGTAGCAACTGGGCCACGTAGGCCAGTGAGGGGGCCACAAACGGCGACAGCGGGGCCACGAAGGGCATGCACATGGGGCCCCGCAACGGGCGCGAACGAGCGGGGGCCACGGAGGGCATACGTATGTTGGGCCGCGGAGGGCAAGGACGGGGCCACGAAGGGCAGCAACGAAGCCACGAAGGGCAGCGAGGGGGCCGCGAAGGGCGACAGCGGGGCCACGAAGGGCATGCATATGGGGCTACAACGGGCGCGAACGAGCGGGGGCCACGAAGGGCATACATACATGGGGGCACGAAGGGCAGCGAGGGGGCCACGAAGGGCTGCAACGGGGGCCACGAAGGGGAGCGAGGGGGCCACGAAGGGCTGCAACGGGGCCACGAAGGGCTGCAACGGGGCCAGCAGCGAGGGGGGCCACGAAGGGCTGCAACGGGGCCACGAGACAAAGCGAGGGGGCCACGAAGAGCTGCAACGGGGCCACGAAGGGCAGCGAGGAGGCCACGAGGGGCAGCAACGGGGCCACGAAACAAAACGAAGGGGCCACGAAGGGCTGCAACGTGGCCACGAAGGGCTGCAACGGGGCCACGAAGGGCAGCGAGCTCCCGATTCCTAGGTAATTTGTGAGGGAGTCCCAAGCGTGAGCGCGACTCCTGGGTGCCTGGGTGTCGGGAGCGCGGCGCTTGAGTAAATTGCAAGAAATTCCAACGCAAGGACGCTAGTCGTCAGTAAATTGCAAGCAAGTCTCCGGCGAGAGCGCGACTCCAGAGCGCCGGGAGGACGATTCCTGAAAAAAATGTAAGGAAGTCCCAAGCGAGAGCGCGATTCCTGAATAAAATGCGAGGGAGTCTCGGGCGGGAGCGGGGGTCCTGGCTAAATTGTGAGGAAGTCTCAGGCGGGAACCGTTGTTGTTGTAACCCGGGGGCCAGGGGCGCAATTTGAGCATCAAGACTTTCCCTGTAGAAAAACAAAGTGCGAGCGTCGAGGGGCACACTTTGATTGAGAGAAACAATATGCACCGCTGAGAGAGGATGAACCATAATTATTATTCAGAAATGACAGCTCAACAACAACAACGACAACAACAACAACAACAACAACAACAACAACACCAACACCAACACCAACACAGACGACGATGACGACAACAACAACCACGACAACAACCACAACAACAGCAACAGCAGCAACAACAACAACAATAATAACAACAACAACAGCAACAACAACAACAACAACCACAACAACAACCACAACAACAACAACAACAGCAACAACAACAACAAGACCAACAGCAATAACAACAACAATAACAACAACAACAACAACAACGACAACAACAACAACAACCACCACAACAACAGCAGCAACAACTTTAAAAAAACAACAACAGCAACAACAACAACAACAACAACAGCAACAAGGTTGACACGTACACTGCCGACCCGGCCACGGCCCGACAGTCTACGCCTTCACCCACTGGGCGAACACGTGGACTGACGACTCGTGGACCCACTACCCCCCCCCAACACCAACACCAACACCAACGCCAACGCCAACACCATAGGGAATCCTATAGGATCCCTATGGAATCCCATAGGATCCCTATGGTCACCGTGGCTCTGAGACCACCCTTACGCACCTCAACGTATTCCTGCGACTGGCAACGATGTGCGCACCGGCGAAGAGACCTTCGGGCATCCTCCGGAACCCATGCGGAATCCTAGGAATCCCTGGGGAATTCCTTGGGAATCCCTGGGGATTCCCAGGGTCCTATACAGAGCCTACACGTTCTGTATGGAATCCTATACAGAGCCTACACGCCCTGTATGGGATCCTATACAGAACCTACACGGCCTGTGTGGGATCCTACAGGGCCTACAAGCCCTGTACGAGATCCTCTACAAGGCCTACAAGCCCTGTGTGGGATCCTATAAACAGCCTACACGGCCTGCATGGGATCATACACAGAGCCTACACGGCCTGTGTGGGATCCTATACAGAACCTACACGGCCTGTGTGGGATCCTATACAGAGCCCACACGCCATGTATGGGATCCTATGCAGAGCCTACACGCCCTGTATGGGATCCTACACAGAGCCTACACGGCCTGTGTGGGATCCTATACGGAGCCTGCACGGCCTGTACGGGATCCTATAGAGAGCCTACACGCCCTGTGTGGGATCTTATACAGAACCTACACGCCCTGTATGGGATCTTATATAGAGCCTACGCGGCCTGTACGGGATCCTATACAGAGCCTACACGGCCTGTGTGGGATCTTAAACAGAGCCTACACGGCCTGTGTGGGATCATATACAGAACATTCCCTTGGGATCTTCTAAGATTCCATAGGGATCCTGTAGGAGTCCTATAGGGTCCCATGGGGATCAGATAAGGAGTCTCAAGGATCCTATAAGGATTTCTGATACGATCCCATATGGCATCCTACAGGATCTCAATGGAATCCTATAGGATCCCCACGGAATCCGATAGGATCCCTATGGCACTTCTATAGGATTCCTATGGAATCGTATAGGTTCCCGATGGAGTCGTACAGTCCCCAAGTATCCTATAGGACCCTACGGAATCCTATGGGACACCAACACCAACACCCCAACAGCCCCGTGGGGTCCCTGCGGTGGCCCCGTCGGGGCCCACGGGGCTGTTGGGTGTTGGTGTTGGTGTGGGGGGGGGTACGGGTCGTCAGTGCACGTGTCCCCATCAACAACAACAACAACAACAACAACAACAACAACAACAACAATCACTTTACCCGAACGCTCAGTGTTCTCACCAGTGCCAGGGTTTTCATGCGACGCCAGCCAATACCCCCACTTTGTGGGGGGGCAGTGCAAGCTCTACCAAATATCCACACGACTCTTCGCCACCACCCACACCCAGCTTCCCGCCCTATGACGTTCGGACACTTCACTTCGTGGCCTGCGGACGACCGTGGCTACTACACTGGCGTGGAGTACACACCCACAGAAGTTGTTAAGCCTACGTTCGTACACCCACAGAAGTTGTTAAGCCTTGGCGTTTGCGCGCGCGAAGAAAAAACGAATGTGTCCCGCATGGTATTATTTGACAGGGATGATGGCCCTGGCAGGTGCGCAACCGTTGTCGCAGAAGTTCGAAAAAGTTGCTCGCAAAAGCCCGTTTGACAGAAATGTTTAAAAAGTGTTGGGTTTCCTACGAATCCGCAAGAGCGCGCGGGATGAGATTTTGACAATTTTTTGTTGAAAAACCATTGGTTTTTTGATGTTTTTATGTTAAAATCGCTGCGAACACTAAGGTTTTGGAAGGATTTCGTCTTGCGCGCGCGAATGTCCACTTTACCTTATTTTTGCAAGGGATTCTTGAAATTTGATTATATTAGAACAAGAAATGTCATTTTCTATTGTTTTTTTGCAAGGGAAAGCGGATTACAACAAAACAACCGGATCCTGTACACACCCTCTTTTCTGAGGCTTCCTCACGAAAATGATGAAAATGTAGCTGCGGCCTAGGCGGCGCAGGGGGGGGCGCGCACCAGGGGGCCCAACAATAATTATTCTTTAGAATAAATAATGTTCAACAACAACAACAACAATTACTAGCACGTGGGGACACTCCGTTCTCACCAGTGCCAGGGTTTTCATAGGAGGCGGGCAATACCCCCACTTTGTGGGGGGGCCGGTTCAAGCTCTACCAAATTTCCAAACGACTCTTCGCCACCACCCACACCCAGCTTCCCGCCCTATGACGTTCGGACACTTCACTTCGTGGCATGCGGACGACCGTGGCTACTATTCAGGGCCCCGCGGCCGACGACGACGGCGTGCGCGCGCGAAGAAAAAACGAATGTGTCCCGCATGGTATTATTTGACAGGGATGATGGCCCTGGCAGGTGCGCAACCGTTGTTGCAGAAGTTCGAAAAAGTTGCTCGCAAAAGCCCGTTTGACAGAAATGATTAAAAAGTGTTGGGTTTCCTACGAATCCGCAAGAGCGCGCGGGATGAAATTTTGACAATTTTTGTTGAAAAACCATTGGTTTTT